GTGAAATGAAGCCTTTTCCTTGCGGGTTTTGCGATTTAGATTTTAATACAAGTGAAGAACGCGAACTTCACATAAAATTACATAACGTGTGTGCTTTTTGCGGTAAAGATTTCAAAACCAAACGAAATCTAGACGATCATTTGAATTTCCACGAGGAAATATTCGGGAAAGCGGAACAAGAAGTGAACGAATTCCTTAGTGACGAAGCACTAGAGGAATTTAGTTATCAATTACGCGACGAACACCGCGAATTTTGTAAAGAATACGACAAATCCGAAGAAGGAAAAAGAGCTAACGAACATTTAAAAAAGCACAGAGATTATTTAAATATTGACTATGATAAATATGATAAATACAAAAAACCCAAAAAGTGAATAAAAATCGAAAAAAAAGTTAAAAACAATAATAATAATAATAATAAAAATAATTAAACAAAATCAGAAAAAAAAGAAACCCAAACAAAAACACTAACAAAAATAAATAAAGAATACACAAAAGAACCAGCCAAAGTACAAAGGACAGACAGCACAGATCGTATAGCGATCACACCAGCAAACAACCAGCAAACCAGCCATCTATAATATTTCATCAATAGCAAAGCAGCAAACCATCAAGCAGAGACAACAACCCCATAGAGAACCAGCCAACTAACAAGAAGACAGACGGACCAAATAAGGAAAGTACAATTCATTCTACAAACTTTTTTTTTTTAAACAAAATAAATTTTATTCATATATATTAAAATAAATAAAATATTCTTTATATATATCAAAATAAATTATAATTAATATGTTAATCAAAAATAAACAAATTAAAAAATAAATAGAATGTGCAAATTAAATTAAATAAATATTCCTTTACTTTTAAAATATTCCTGTTGTACATATTGAAATAAAAAATTATTCTCTATATATTAAAATTATTTAAAAATAAAATATTCATTTTCTATTAAAGATTATATTCTGTCATATATATTTAAATTAATTATTCTTTTCTACACAATTATAATTCCATGTGTTATCTGAACACAATCAAAATTAAATAATTCAAAATAAAAACAGTGCTATTCAAAACAAATAAAATATTCTTTTCTTTACATTAAAATAAAATTTGAGTCCCATATATTACGATAAATAAAACACTAAAAATGGAAGACACAGCTATCCTAAATCTATTATTACAGTTAATAAAGAACGTAAACGAATTTGACGGAACAGATAAAGCTCAACTACCAGACTTTTTAAATCAAGTAGAATCATTCACCCCAATTTTAAATAAATTAAATGAAGAAAACACGAAAATAGCCTTCTCATTCCTTAGGAATAAATGCACAGGACAGACCAGACATACATTAAACAAAGAAAGAACAACAACATGGCCAGAATTAGTAACAGCATTAAAGAAATATTACGGAGAAAAAGAAAATAGCACCGAATTAATAGACAAACTGAAAACCTTAAATCTTTTTGGAACAATTGAAAATTATTATTTTTAAATCAATAAAATAGTGAGCAGATTAAATACTAGAAACCTAACACATGCAGATGGGACCTACACAACTGAAGATATAAATAGAATAGCATCCAACACATTTAAGAACCATTTACCCGAACCAACAAAAACATTAATACTTGCTAGGAACCCAACAGATTTGGAAGCAGCATACGAAATCATTATAGAAGCCAGACATCAAAATTTCACACAACATGGACCTCCAAATAGAAACAGCAACAATAGAATAAACACCAATTTCAGTAACAACTATACAAGAAACAATAATAATAGAACTGATAGATTTAATAATAACACAAATAACAATAGATTCAGTAATAACAGAAATAACAATAGATATAATAATAACAATCCTAGATTTAATACAAATAACAGTACAAATTACAGACCAAATAACACATCATTTCCCAATAACAATAACAATAGAAATATAGAAATAATAGAAATACCGATAATAATACAAATAATAATAGCGCTAATAATAATAATAGAACATTACCTAATACACCTGCAAGACAGAGACCAATGACGAACAATAACCCAAATAACACATTTTATTGTTATTTATTTATTGTAAATTGTATAGGTACCCTGAAATACACAATGACGAGGTAAATACACAAATCAACGAAATGTTACAACAAGGTATTATAAAAGATTCAAATAGTCCATACAACAGTCCAATTTGGATAGTACCCAAAAAATTGGACAACTCTAACGTCCAAAAATGGCGGATTAAACTTAACGAATTCGACTTTGACATTGACTACATTAAAGGGAAAGAAAACATTGTAGCAGACGGACTTAGCAGGATAAATCTCGAAAGTAATAACAATGGAAAAGATGACATTGAAATTAATCTTAACGAGCTCTTTGATGACAATCAAACTGTCCACAGTGCAGAAACTGACAGTATGGATTTCATCAGAATTACAGAATTGTGTTTCATTTTTTTTACGCGTGCGCGAACGAAACTATATAAACCGTAGTATTTTAAGAAATAAATCAGTATCAAACGAATACTCAAGCCTTTCATTTCACATTTTGGTCCTTCGAGGCCAAGGAAAGTGCGGTAATCCTCCCCCACCAGCGGTAAGACACTTGTAAGAAAGTATTAAACCTTTCCTAAGAAGAAAGAAAAAATATATTAAATTAGTTAAAGTGATCCCCCACCAGCGGTAAGACACTTAACTAATAATAAAATAAATTTAGAGCCTTACAAACTCTAGATTACAAGTTCAATAAGAACAAATAATAAAATAAATTCAGACCCTTACAAACTCTAGATTACAAGTTCAATAAGAACTAATAATAAAATAAATTCAGAGCCTTACAAAATTTAGATTACAAGTTCAATAAGAACTAATAATAAAATAAATTTAGAGCCTTACAAACTCTAAACAAAAACGGTCAATAAAGACTAAACAATTTTTTTGTTATAACTTTCATTAAGGAAGATTATAATAAAAAAGGATTTATTATTTTAGTTAATAGCTAAGATTTTAAAGATATATAACGCATTGGCTGTTCGAAAAGAACGCCCAATAACATTCGGACCGAGTGCAGTTACTAAAAGCCACTGGTCTCCACCACCACCAGTAATTGATGAGCTTAACGCAGATTTAATGAGCAATATAACAGATTCAGTGCCACCTGTAGTGGCACTCTCTCTATTAAGAGATTAATTAATATTTTAATATTAATATTTATTTTTAATTTATTAAATTTTATTATAATAATATTTTTTTAAGACTCCTATGCTGAATGCCATCTACTTGAGAACCCAGTAGAGAGTCTGTTAAGCCAACTTGGCATCATAATATTTTTCTTTTTTATATGTATTAATATTAACTAATGTTATTTTTTAAATTAGAGATCAATCAAGTGTAACAAATGTTCTGTATCACGATAGAATAATCAATTGTAACAATTTATTTGTAACATTTGTATTGTTTTTAAAAACCTGTTTTTACATTGTTGTTGCTATTTTTTATATTAACGCACTACTGAGGTGAACTGGTTTCAACAGCTGCCGTAAACGAACTGTTCTGACAGATCGCGCTCATTTTTGGCATAGTAATTAAGGACAGTGCTGCCAAACTACATAAACTTAAAATATCGAAAAATATACAGCGCGCGAATTTTAAATGAGAATTTCCGAAAACTTTTCAGTCACAATGTACGAGGAAATAAAATTATGGTTCGTGCGTTCACGTGCTTAACGAATTATCAATTGTCGATTTTTTAATTTATTTTTCAATTTTAACAAACCCATTCGAACCGTGGGTAAAAAAAGGAGGTGAATTGGTGCAAGAGCTCAGTATTTAAGGTTTGATCATAAACTAGGAATACTTTACAATTCACTCTTTTTTACAGAGTCAACTGTCAACAACATGGAACATTGACGGAATAGAGCTCCCTTCACAAGAAAGACCAGTAGCTGTCTTTCACAAGAGAGACAAATACATACTGAATGTATGTGTATGTTTAAAGAAGTAGTAAATGAATGTAAGCAAACTAACCAGGAACTTTTGCAACTTTTACGAGAGCAAGGTCAAAGAGATGACCAGTTTTTACAAGTAATGACCAATTTAATGAATAAATAAAATTAATATTAGTGTTATTATTAGTCAAGTCAATTATTAGTCAATAACTGTGTATATATTGTAAATTTATAGTTATTAGTATTAGAATAAGAATTAGTATGTAATAAACACTGTGTTCAATAATGAACATGTTTTATTATTCAAATTACTAATATTCAATTTCATATTCATCTTATATTAAGCCATTCTGCCTTAATAAAGGCGCTGGCAATATGTTCAATAATGAACATGTTATTTTAAGACAAATGCCAGTTTTCTCTTTAAAATCATAAAAAATTATATTAAAATTAAAATAATGCACAACTGTGCATATTAAACACGCTGGCAGGATGTTCTTAAATTGATAGTTTATTATTCCAAGCCTGTTATAGTTTAAATGCTTAGAATTATATACGAAGGAAAAAACACGGGTAATAAAAAACCCAAAACTAAAATAGTAACATTGTAGAATATTAAACACATTTTAAAATACATTTTATGATACACGGCACCGTATCGATAATAAAAATATATTTGTAAAATAATAAAAATCCTACGTGCCGGGATTTTATTGTATCCTTTGTTTGTAATGCAATACAGTCCACTCAAACAAGCTAATAAATAATAAATAATAAATAAATAATATAATAAATAGGTAATAAATATTGTAAATTAGTTAAGTTAGTTTTAAGATTATTTTTGTATAAATACAGCATACTTTTTAAAATAAAATCAGTATCGACTGAATACTCAGATTGTAAACTTCGTCTTCTATTTTTATCCAATCACACTGTATATAACTATTTATTAAATTTGTATATAACTGTATATATACTGTAAATTTGTATTAAGAATTAGTATTTAATAAATACTGTATATAACTATTTATTAAATGTTAATGTTTTACTTACGAAAACTTAATGCGATCGCATCTCTTATAACTTTCGCCTCCACATTATTTTCGCCAGCTCTTGTTGTGTATCTAGGTTGTGAAGGTGCTGTAGACGCTGCTGACTTTGCATCTCTTACCCATGTGTACCTAACATGATCATTTTCTACTTTTGAAAAATTATGTAGCATACAACAGGCTTTTATGATGACGTTAACATTTTCTGTTGCTACTTCCAAACCTCTGCCTACTTTGCGAAACCGTGCTTTCAGCTGTCCAAACGCATTTTCAATTACACGACGACATTTAGAAAGTCGGTAATTGAAATCTTTTTCCTTATTTGGCTGATTTAGTTTATAAGCGAATGGTTTCATAATGTTTATTTATAGCTTCCTGATTTTTTATTACTTTCAATAATAACATTTTTAATTTTAAATTAAACGAATGGCGTCTTTTTAACCAAATTAAAGCGAGTTTCTTTAATTTTTCTTGCTTATCCATTTTCAATTTAAAATTCTCTCGCTTTGTCAATAACAAAAAACATATGATACAGCAACTTCTTAATGATAATTTATACCGTCTGTCAGGGTATTTTTGAAATGATCATTTAATGCTGCTTAATGATAATTTAGCGTGCTCGTCTGTCAAGGGTATTAGATTTTAAAGATAAATAACGCATTGGCTGTTCGAAAAGAACGCCCAATAACATTCGGACCGCGTTGAAGAGACCAGTACTACACCGTTAATGACTGTTCAAACATGTGTTCCATCAATCCCTACCTGCATGGAGAACAATGACAAGGACCAAGATGTACTCCAATGTATGTGGAGCGACACAATCAACGAGCATAGTACGTCTCCACCACCACCAGTAATTGATGAGCTTAACGCAGAATTAATGAGCAATATAACAGATTCAGTGCCACCTGTAGTGGCACTGAAGAAGAAGAAATTTCAATAAAGAAGTGTTTAAATTTTTTTCAATTCAATTCATTATTGTACTCTTTTGATATAAATTTCAATGAAGAGGTGTTACGGATATGTTTAGGTAAATGTTTTGAAGTGCAATGAATATTTTACACTTTTGTTTGTGTTATATGTTTGCGTCTTTTATAATTTCATTGTTTGTTTATTGAGTGTTTTGTATTTTAATTGTAAATTTAATATTTTTATTGTGTGTTGAATAATGAACGTGCTTTATCTTGTATTTGAATAAAGAGAAATAAAATCAAAAAATACTTTTCCAGAATAACAAAAGTAAAAATAAACAACCCAATAACTGTAGTCATATTGATAATTGAACCTAAGTAAATAATAGTGTAATGTGATATGGGTACAAGACCACACATATCACAAAACACTCAAGTGTTCCGAATAATTTAAAGTAACCATTGACACAGTTCTATTTTAATAAAATTTATGACAAACTATTGTCAAGTAATATGAGCCTTTATTTTGTCATTGCTTTGAAGACGAATAACTGAGCCGCACATTGCACCATATGTGCAATATGCATAATGTTTTTATAAGAGATAGACATGCATATTTTTGAGTCTCCAATGTGTAATTGTCGAGCCACATTTATATGTGTATGTTTCTAATTCACAGTGTATGTTATATATATTTTTGTTTTTACTTTTATTTTTATACAACATTGTATATGCTTGTACAATGGCATATATGTACTATTTATAAGCACACATAAACATAGGAGTTTATGATAACAGATTGTAAAACAATATAACGGACGAAGACGATATAATTTTCTTTTCCATTCTGATGAGTCCGGCTGGTTACCGGACGAAACGCGTTAATGGAAACCATTAACAATATGACTCTTGTTGAAAATATCAACACAATAGGGAAAAATTCACTAAAATTTAATGAACGAACATTTTCTAGACATAAGACATAAATCTCATACAAATAATATCCAAATATTTAAATAAACTATATTAAGTTTATTATTTTTGTACTATTATCTTTGTGAATTTTATATTTAATGAATAATAAAGCATAGATATGCGAACCATAGGTAAATGTATATATCAAAGATTCTCCAATATTTATAAACAAATTTTCAAAGTTTACTAATCGTGATACATCTACTCTTAATAAAATTTTTCACTGACATTTTTGGAATAACAATATACATTGGGCGTATTCAGTATATATACTCAACAATCTGTGACCATAACATTTAACACATCATATTAAGCTTTATATCCAATTTTTATAAAACCTTTTCACCGCTTAGATAGAAAGATATTATAGAAATGAAAGAATAATCCTATTTTAAAGAGAAATTTTAATTCTAAAATATAAAATTAGCAGCAGTAAAATGGGATGATAAAACATCCCAAGAAATAAACATGTTTATATAAACCTTCATCTATTGATTTATAATCAAAACTATCATTTTTGATATACCCATTAACTTAATAAAAATGAATTATTAAAAATTTACATATAGACTTACATAATCCAATTTCTAAACACCAAATTAATTTTAGTAAAAATTTATTTATTGATTTATAATCAAAATTATCACTTTTAATATATCCACCAGTTTAATGAAAATGAATCATAAAATCTACATATAGACATACATAACCGAATTTCTAAACACCAAATTAGTTTTTATGGGAAAAATTCTTATAGAAAATTTAACCAAAATCTAAATATCAATCTCAAATTTAAAATAGGGATTTAGCAATAAAATTAGATACATATTAGATTAATCCTAAATACAAAATATATTTAATTAATTTTTCCAAAGAAAATACAAGTATATTAGGTTACCAATATAATATAAAATCGTAAAGATCATCTTTTTAGGCACACATAACGTCACCAATAGTAAGTTTTGTTTAGACATACATAACGTCATTTAATAAAACATAACATAATTAAAGATAGTAATAAAAGACTAAGATATGTATTTTTAAATTAAAAAGTTTTCAATTACAATAATAATTTAATAAAGGGGTTTTCAGAATTAATATAAACCATCAATAGATTAACTGTTGTATAGGATTATGTATATAAATTGGCAGGGATATATTTCTTGCCACCAGGAACAGTCTCAGGCTGTTTGTCTGAAGACATTGTACTTAAGGTTGTCTTTTAGGACAAAAAGATAATCTTATACAATGTAAGGGTAACAATGTCAGTACCCATATAACAATATATTTGCAAGTCAAAACTGTGTCAATAGAATAAACGGTTTCAAGTAAAAACATATGTAGAACACTTGCATTAGTAAATATAACACCATTTATTGATAAGATATTTCTGTAAGAATATTATATACGTCTAATATGGGTTAACCAATTAGACGCAAGTATTATAAGTATTAACCAATAGAATCAGTACATAAGATTCTATTGGAAATGAGTATTAGGAAACAATGTTAGATTTAAGAATTAATAATTAATAAAAATCAGTCTTCTACAAACACTGAAAGCGACGTGTCTTTTATTTCTACAAAGATAATACTTTACAATAGGTTCACCACATTGCTTACATGAAACTTAAATATCAAATTTATTTTTATCAATATTGTAACAAATGCCGTCAAGGCGTCTCTGCATGGGATTGTAAAGATGAATATAGATAGATTTAATTTTCAGTTTGTTCTAAACAAATAACCGCATCTAATCGTTGTATACTTACGGATTGTAGTGGACCTACCTCACTTAATTCTTAGCCACTTAACATTACTCATAAATAATAATAGTAAGCAGATTTATGAATTGGTTGCACTTCATGCATACCGTACAAGAAGCATAAGCAAAGCGTCATAAACAAAAGAGTTTCGTATTACCAACGAAAATATTGCCACACGCTGTTCCAATTGCTGAACACATGTTACAATATTTTCAATAGTAATATTTCCTATATTGCTAAAGACATGTGCAAGCAATATTGTCAATGCACTCTAATAATAACTTTGACGTTTGACCTAAATGAGCAAACAGTGTCGTCGCTATGCAATGCATTCTACAAGGTCAGCAATCACTTTGATTGGCTGCGGTTATACTTTTCCAGGTTTTGTCTGGAATAAAGAGGCGGAGTCTTGAGATCGCTAGAATCTAGAAAAATGTATAAATACCCAAACTATTGTTCAATAAAATCAGAATATATACTTATGACTGCAGATATACATGCGTTGTTGAATTTTATTCTTACTCCTTCTGGCCAAGTAACACTGGCCTAGGTACCAGCGGTAACAAGCCGCTTGATAACTTGTTCTTGATTGCATCAGTAGGTTTTTTGATGCATGCTCGTATCAGGCAGGGATAATTACACGCACTTACAGGACATTACGTCTCATTTTACCTGACGATCCAGTCTACATCTGAACGGACTAACAAATTACACTAGTTCCATTGATAAAGAAGTTCCATTACATGGTGATCCAACCATTACATTGATTGAATATTGTCCATTCTTCCATTACATGGCGATCCTGCAGGCTTCAATGCCAAGCGGACCAATAATAAATTACATCAATTAAAATTATAATTATCAATTATATATTACATCAATTATAATTATAATTATCAATCATAAATCACAACAACTAAATTGATTGAAGTCAACACAATCCTAGACGATATGATAGATGAAGCGACCTTCCACGCAATTTTCCATAAGTACGAGCTAATACTGCAAGCAACAAAGGCAACTCCACAAGAATACGTACCAGAATAAGTAGCGCAACGCGAAGAAGTACATCCAACATATGTACCTACACCACGATCGGCTGACCCAACACCAATAACTATAGAGGAATACAAAAGGCGACAAGAGACAAGGAGACAACCTACCACACATGACACTCCACCACCACAAAAGAAACCTAATAGACGAAGAGGGAAAGCATTTCGCCAACGAAAGCAAATTGCCCAACTGTACGAGAAGTACAACCTGGCGACAACTATTGCAGAAAAGAAGGAGATCAAGCTGAAAATAAAGAACCTGCGGAGAAATAAGCAGAAATAACATATTACATTTCTATTATATTTTGTATTTTTTTATGTATGTATTTTGTATGTTTAGAATAAAAAAAAAATAATAATAAATTTTCTTTTATAAATATGAATAATTTCAATTGTTTTGTCTGTGGTAAAAGTTACCAAACAAGTAAAAAATTAAATAATCATATAAAAAAGAAACATTTTAAATTGATTAATTACGTAAACAAATTATTTAAAAATTAAATATAAAAAAAAAAAACAAAAAAAATTTTTTTCCTACTAGAACCAATACTATTAAAATGGGATTTTGGAATAAAATTTTTACTTAAATTCCACTCATATTCACAGGATATGAAATAGGCAAAACAATTGAAAATAAAAACAATAATATTGTAAACAATAATATGTCAAATATAAGTTATT